GCTCTCAGCATGGATCCGTTGAGTTGGTGAGGTCTGAGAGCCCAAGCTTAAGCCCGAATAAACCATAAACCTTTGCTTTTGCATTTTGGTGTATTGGGTCCTCGGTGGTCTTTTAGGGGCCCAGTGGATGAGGTACAACACCATCACAGGTGCTATTCAGATATATATGAATTTTGTTGGAGTTACCCTACATGTAGACACACTCCTCTCCCTGAAGCAGTAGGTTATCAAACAAGTGTCCAGTGTCAGGTATACAATAGTTCCCCTCAATTTGTTGTTCAGAAGAGTCCCAGACATTGCTGAAATAATACATGCCATTACCATGGCTCTTAGTTACCCACCAGAACTTGATGGTAAGTCCCTATTGCTGAAGACCCCAAAAACTTTGTTCATAGGACCTAGAAGCTTCCTCCTTGTTGGTTAGCCTTCACAATGCCAGACAATACTTTGCAAGCTGCCAGGGGAGAAAAGTTAAGAGTTTTACCCAGCGGTGAATTCTGCAAGCTATAATAATGACAGCCTGGTGAGATACGTCCATTCATACATAGTGGCATGAATCTTATGGGAATAAGCCAACAGCTTTCTAATTGGACATACAACATCCTCCACATAAAAGAAACCGTGCCTGATAATATAAAGCTGACCAAGTACCCATTGCTGAGGAAGCTGTAAGTCCTAGGGGAGAAACTACTATTATTATTTTGCTAAAGGGACAGAGTAACAGCTGCCTTCTAAACACTTATCATTAAGTCTCCATGTACGCTCACTCCTTATCACAGAATCTTCTTTATATAATGGATGGTGACTAATACAGAGATTCATAAGTGGTCAGAATGTGGAGCATAGGGGATTATGGAGTCTTCAGGCCTAAGTGAAATACCTACGTCATACTCCTCCCATTGAACTTCACGGCATACTGATGAAGAGGGGGCACTGATGGAAATTAGTGTATTCTAGACATGACTGGACCATTGGATTTATGAACTCACAGCAGCTGTGGTTGTCTGTACAAGGTCTACACATGATCAAGGCAGTCAGTACGCCAACACGGATAGAAGAGCTGGTGAACTCGCACCCCTAATTTTGGTCTTCTGACAGCTGATGGCTACTGTAGAAGGATCAGTTTTCCTTAGTGGAGTGGCCCATGGTAGGTTGTCCATGTGCCAATAATTACCCTACATCCATGTGCATATGGACAGCACTACATGGACAAAACAGATTACAAAAGAAGAACAGAAGGCAGAGGAGAAGAGGAGAAATATGAAATAGAAGGAGGAGTGTGCTGGATAGCTTTAGTGTCAACTTGACACACCTGGGTTGAGGGAGCCTCAATTGGGGAATTGCCTCCATTGGACTGGCCTGTGTCCATGTCTGTGGGGCATTTTCTTGATTGTTGAGCGCTATGGGAGGGCCCAGCACACTGTGGGTAGTACCACTCCTGGGCAGATGGGCCTGTTTTAGATAAGAGAGTAAGCCTCCCCAAGCTGGTATTGGTCAAAGTGTTTTGTTACAGCAATGGAGAAACAAACTAAAACAAAGAGGGGTGGGGAAAGAGATATAGAAGGATGAGGTATAGGAAGAGGAGGGATAGGCAGAGAGATATGAGGAGGAGGAGGAGGAGGAGGAGGAGGAGCAGCAGCAGGAGAATGAGGAAGAGGAGGAGCAGGAGAAATAAAGTGTGAAGATGAGAAAGGAAGGGTCTGAGAGGAGCTGAAGAGTAGAAGGAGTGGATGTGATCTAAAAACAATGTATATGCATATGAAATTACCAAAGAATTAATAATAAAATAGCATTGCATTTGTATTCGTACATCCTTGATTTATTAAGTTGATATATGGGAATGGATGAAAACATGATGACTTAATCAAATTGTTATCTTTTACAAAACTTTTCAATGACAGAGAATTTTTTCGACAAGATCTCACCATGTAGATCTGGCTGGCCTCAAACTCACAGAGATCTGCCTGTCTCAGCCTTCTGAGTGCTAGAATTAAATGTTTGTGCCACCACACCTAGCCTGACAAAACATTTTAAATAAATAAATATGTACATATATGGTGCCTTTTCCTCTTCTAGTAAAATGTGGGTGTTTTGCTTAGCATATTTTAGGTACACTTTCAATTTAAAATGTATATCAACATTGAGGAAAATATCATCTTTTTCAGATATAGCAAATGGAGTTCAAGAATTTTTCTCCATGATCCATGATTATTAGTATTCCTGCCTTTTCATACCATCTTCTCCATGATATCTAATTTTCATCTTAAAAGTCTTTTATTTCATGTCAGCCATACATGAAAATAAATAATGCATGGAAAGTAAATTATACTGCTCTTTATGTAAATGTTAAATTTCAGAAATTTCCCCAGAATGAATTCACATCTGGAAAGAAGTATCTTATGTTACAAACATCCTAATTCAGTAGTGGTGCCAATGTCTATGTGAAAACCTCTCTAGCTTCATAGATTTTGCCATAGATGTTATTCATTTCTGATTAATTAGATTTATTTGTTTTTTTATGCTTTTGATTGTTTTCCTGCATGGAAGTGCACCTATGAGCACAATACCCATGGAGGCTCTCAGAAGGCATTGGATCCCCTAGAACTGGAGTTAATGCATGGTTGCTTGCCACCATGTGGGTGACTAAGAACTGAACCTAGGTTTCCTGGAAGAGCAGCCAGTGCTCTTCACTGCAGAGTAATTTCTCAAGACTCTTCATTTTTTACTATAGACTTTTAACAAGAACAACATAACATAAATATTTACTGTTCTGATTTTCCTATAACTTTTTCATAGGCATGCAACAGTTGCTCTTTCCTATAGTCCTAGTGCTCTATGCATACAGAATACATTTTTGAAAGATTTTATTTGGTTATATTTCTATTATAACTTACTTTCTGTAAAGTCAGTATACCATATTTTCTAGCCACATCATTAGCATATTAATATTTATGTAATGGATGTCTATGGAAATTATAAGAAAAAAAGTGTGAACCTCCACAAAAGATATTTTATTAGTCAATTTTGAAAATTTACAAGAGTAACAGTTACAGGCAATATTGTAATAGATAGACATAAAATTTCTTCTTAATATTTATTTTATTTTATGTGCAAGATTGTTGGCCTGAATGTCTGTATGTGCATCACATGCCTAGTTCCTGTGATGGCCAGAAGAGAGCATCAGATCCCATGGAACTGGAGTTGTAGATGGCAGTTAGCCACGATTTGTGTATTGGGAACCAAACCCAGGTCCTCTGCAAGACCAAGTGCTCTTATGCACTGACCCAAATCTCCAGGCTTAATATAAATTTTACCTCATTTTTACCTCAATTCATATGGAATGAAAAATATAAGAACTCCTCTTTATTTGGAAACTTTGGGAAGCCTATAGTATTTCATAGAAAATTGAAATCTCACTAAGGAGTTAGACTCCATTAACATCAACACTACAAAATTTTATATAGATACCATAGCTGAGACTATTAATTAACTTAGTTATTTTTGTTTCAGAGTTAATGATATAAATAGTCAATTACTGTTTTTTCCACATGAATCCCTAAGGTCTAACACCAGTTGTAAACATCATTTATTATTAATGAATATGATAACTTATGGTGTTGTGAAGAAAAAAAATCCGTATTCAAGAAAAAAATGATAGATTACTTTGTGAATATAAGTATTCAGAGTTGTAACAAAACAGTAAAGGACTACTATAGTGATACTAATAAATAACCAAGATCAGTCAGTTTTAAGGTAGCATAACCCAGATATTAAGCAGTTTATTTGTAGTATGAAGAGAATCATTGATTTGAAAATATTGAAACATGTATGATGAAGGGTTGAAGAAGGGTTGTATTTAGTAATGTGACCAGGCCTCTTTTGAAATTGAAGAAAATAAAAGGCATAGGGTAGAAAGAAATGCACATTTTATAAGATTTAGTCACATTGCATTTTTAGTTTAAAAGCTTCACAATGCATCAGCAAACAAAACACCTGTTGAATTCATTCAAAGTAAGTATTTTTAGAATCTATCATTTTAAAAATGAGAAAAATTACTTTATAGTCAATTCTATTCTGAACACAGAATAAACCAATTAAATACAGAATTAGAAAAATCTAGCAATTTTTTCTGTAACTCACTGCTAAACTTTCAAGGCAAGGGTCTGGAGAGTAACTGTATCTTTTATTAAAAATATGAAAACAATGATTCTCAATGACATTTGTCACATTTTGGTGATATATTTATATTATATAATGAACTTAGTACTTTAATATTCAGTAGTGACTGTAGTACAGCATGAAAGCTATTTTTACATGGACAAAGCAACACAGCTTGACTAGGAAAATAATTGAGTAAAAATGGTTCAAATTCAATATAAATTTCAACTCGTCATTTATATATTAATTTTGGAGTTTGTAAAACCAATAAAAGTTTTTTTTTTCTGTTTCACTATTTCAAATTGGTAGTACATAAAAAACCTCCCCAATTCAACTGCACCTGTCATTAGGAAATACTCATTCTAAGGAGATGAGTTACAAATTTCAGGGGAAAATAGCTAAACCTTTAACATTTAAGTGTTTGCAGAAAATATAAAGTTTGTTGAAAGAAACAAGGGAGGTTAGCAACATGAGGATTAAACTGGACTAACCTGAATTATCTCAATGCTATCTAGAAGGCTAACAATGGTCATGCCAAATCCTGAACATAAGATTGCAAAGTAGGCAAATTGTTATCACAGAAAATTAGTGTTATTTCTGTGTAGAAAAATTATCTGAATATAATTGGAGAAGAGTATCTAGGAAAAGGGACATAATACGTGTGCTATTCTTGGAGTTCTGCTGCTGGGTTAAGAGAGTAAGCACAGAAAGGAACCAAAGGGTGGCATTTCAGCTGGGTTACTTGATTCTTCAGAACACTTATGTATCTGCACTGAAGGGATCATTTTAATTCACAAAGATTCCTTTTCTCGATTTCAGGTGGATATTGACAGAATTTCATCATGAGAAACCACACTTTTGTGACAACATTCATTCTTCTCGGACTGACAGAAGACCCAAAGTGGCAAATCTTCATTTTCCTTTTCCTCTTTATAACGTATTTCATGAGCATCACTGGAAATCTCACCATCATCCTTCTCACCCTGTTGGATGCCCACCTCAAAACACCTATGTATTACTTTCTTCAGAAGTTCTCCTTCTTGGAGATCTCACTGACATCTACCTGCATCCCAAGGTACCTGGTCAGCATAGTGACCATGGATAAAACAATTTCCCGTGAGGCTTGCTTCACACAGCTGTTTGCTGCTCTTCTGTTTGGCATAGCACAGTTTTTCTTGCTGGCTGTCATGTCCTATGACCGCTATGTGGCCATCTGCAAACCCCTTCACTACACAACCATCATGAGCAGCAGAGTCTGCACTTCGCTCTTTGGCATTTGTTGTGCCATCGCCTCCTTAGCAATCTTTCCTGGAGTTATCGTAAGTCTTGGGGTAGAATTATGTGGTAACATTATTGAACACTTTATATGTGACTATTCTCCCATCTTGAAGCTTTCCTGCAATGACTCAGCATTTATGGAAATGGTAAATTTTATTTTTGCCATTATCACTCTCCTGATCACCTTGGCACTTGTAATGTTCTCTTATGGGAGAATCATAAGTACAATTCTGAGGTTCCCTTCTGCCCAGCAGAGGAAGAAGGCTTTCTCCACCTGTTCCTCCCACATGATTGTGGTCTCCATCTCTTATGGCAGCTGCATTTTCATGTATATCAAACCTTCTGCGGAGGAGAGAATATCTGCAAACAAGGGGGTAGCAGTGCTGACTCTTTCAGTTGCCCCCGTACTAAATCCTGTCATATACACCTTAAGAAATAAACAAGTGAAGCAAGCCCTGAAGGATGTAATTAAGAAATGTACCTCAAATACCTCACAGTAGTAGCCTTCAATTGCACAAAACCTACCTCGCCTGCTTTTTTAAAACATGCCTCTATTTTAATTTGTATTATGGTAGTTACTGAAGGCACCTATACTTGAAACTCTAAATTTCCATTTTGATTTTTATGTTTCTGATGGTGATATTATGTCCATGATGTTCTCTCATTCTTTCACCTTAATGTTATGAATTGTTCAGCTTTTGAAATATTCCACTATGAATTTGGTTTGAAATGTCATACATGTATTATTTCTTTAGAAACATTTAGACTAATTAAAGATTATCAAAATAATAACATTTATTTTATAAAACACTAGGTAAAAGTATCTGAAAGTTCATTAATATTGACCCCTTAGTGCTCTTTTATTGCACTTTTATACATTTTTGATTGTTTGTATTTATTCTCTATGGAATGTTACAAGCAGATGAAATATTCTAAAATTTATCCCTGTGCTCTTATACCAAAAACTCTTAACATACTATTTTCGCAAAAAAAATTCTCCTTTTCACACTGGGAATCTAACAGCAAGCTGTGTTTTTAAAGCATGGGATATCATTCTTCGCATTTTTTATAATAAAGCAACTTTAAATGCACAACTCAATATTATCTCATTCAGAGTTAGATTGTAGACATTTCATTTATATAGCAAAGTTTTTCAGGTGAAATAATTTATAAGGATGCCTCAAGGTTTTTATTTATTCAATGAAAGTAAATTTAAAAACAAACAGTAATGGAACTTATTCCTGCTTGGTTGTTGTTTGTTGGTTAGTTTTTTTGGAGCAGGATTTTGCTATTTCAACCAAGGCTGACTTGAATTCACCATTTAGCATTCTGTCTTAAAAGTTAAAGAGACCCTCTTGCCTCACCTCCCTGAGTGTGCATGATGCCCATCTGATTCCTATTTTTCAAGGCTAAATTTATAATCTTCAGAATTTTATCTTTGTCAATGACAGCAATGAAGGATCAAGGTAATTTGAAGCCCTACATGGTCACTTGCTTTTTTATAAATGTTCTTATTTTTTCTTTTCACAAATATTATTGATTATAGAATTTCATGTGATATATTTTATCAAATTCACATCCTAGTCCCTTCTCCAGTCCGTCTTTGCCTCCCACTTAATTTCAAGTCCTCAATTATTCCTTTCATTTTCTTTCTCCTTCCTTCCTTCCTTCCTTCCTTCCTTCCTTCCTTCCTTCCTTCCTTCCTTCCTTTCTTCCCTTAATTTTGGTTTTTAAAGCTCTATCGATTCCAATCCATGCCTCCCAAGTGCTCCTCCATATTGGGTCATGCCCTGGAGTCTGGTCAACATACCAGGAGTCACACAGTAAAGAAAACTGACTCTCCCTCTCCCAGCATCCATCAGTTATCACTATATTCTCAGCTAGAACTGGGGCTTCGTGCTCATCTCCCCCATCCATGGTGGACTGATATCTGACTTGGTATGCAGAAGAACTGCGCTTGCTATAATACATGCTGTGGATTCATATGTGCAACTACCCTGTGATGTACAGGCAACACAGTTGTCTTGAGTTCATCTGATATTACTGGCTTTTATAATCTTTCCACCTCTTCTTTCACAACGATTCCTAAAACTTTGGAGGAAAATTTGCATTATAGGTGTCCCATTTAGCTCTGAGCACTTCCCAGTCTCTTATTTTCTGTATGTTGACTGTAGGTGGGTCTCTGCGTTAATTGCCATATGTTGAAGAAGAATATTTTCTCATCAGAGTATTGGGATGTACAAATCTATGAACATAAAAATAAATCATTATGAATTAATTTAATATTTTCTCTTTTTAGCAGAACAACAGTAGTAGGTCCCCCTTTACAGTCTTTTATTTGTCTTGGTGCCTGTTCTTGCCCTGATAACAATATCAGGGATCTCACAATATCAACCCTCCTAAAGGTATATAATATCTTGGAATATATCTAACACAGTGTGGTGCTTTGAATGTGAATGTCATCTGTAGACTCCAAGTTTTGGACATTTTGCCTCCTGTTGTGTTGTTTAGGGAGGCTTTAGGAGATGTGGCCATGCCAGAAGAGGCATGTAACTGGGGTGGACTTTGAGAGTTCTCAGCCTTGCAGGATTTCCAGTCACTCTTGGATTCCTGTGTCTGCTTCAAGATGTAAGTGCTCTGCTTTCTACTGTGACCACCTCCTGCCACCATGACTCCCCACCATGATGGACAATGATTCATCTGGAGCCATAAGTTCAAGTAAAGTCTTCCTTTTATAACTTTCCTTAATCCTGGTGTTTTATCCTAGCAACAGAAAAATAATTGGCAGTGAAAGACTTGTATAATGAACAGTTTAAGATATTGAAGAAGATACCGAAAGATGGAAAGATGTCTCATGCTCATCGGTCAGTAGGATTCATAATATGAAAATGACTATCCTGCAGAAAGCAATCTGCAGATTCAATGCAATCACCTTTAAAATTCCAAAATAATTCTTTATTTAAATGGAAAAAATAAAAATAATCTCACATTTATATGGAAGCAGAAATCACCTGGGATAGCCACAACAAAATAAATAATAAAAGAAAAGCTGTCAATCACTATCCCTGATTTCATGTTTTGCTATAGATCTATGGTAATAAAAACAACATAATATCGGTATAAAAACAGACACATTGATCACTAGAACAGAAGGAGGACCCAGATCTGTCAAACTTTTATAATCACATGATTTTCAACAATGAAACAAAAAACACACATGAGGCAAAAGACTATTTTAAACAAATTGTGTTGGTCAAACAGGATAGTCACTTATTAAAGAATGGATCTAGAGTCCTATCTTTCATCCTACACAAATCCTGATACTTGAACCTGACAGAGGAGAATATTGAAATACACTGGAGTTAATAGCCAAAGGAAAGGACTTGACGAACAGGACCTTAATAGCATAGGCATTAAGATCAAAAATTGACAAATGGAAACTCATGAAACTACGGGGCTCCTGTACTTCAAGGGACACCATTATTAAAGTGAAGAGACAACCTACATAATGGGATGATATTTTCACCAGCTGTCCCTCTGACAGAGGGTTATTATCTAGAAAATGTCACTTTCTTACCTCCTTTTTGTTCTCTCATTTGTTACTAAAATTTTGAAAAACTTTTCATATAGATCTCTTCTTCATATTCAATATAATCTTTCTTGTTGAGGTACAAAACACACAAAAGAATGGCAGCTGATTAGACATAGAAAATTATACATTGAAAACTATTAACATATTTGGTTGGTTTAACCATAGGACAAGTCTCAGCAAACAGTCAGTTGTATTATAATTTGGAAAATAGCCCAAATGAATTACCCCTGTGTCTATAGACACCCTAAGTACTGTCCATCAGCAAAATATGTACCCAGGTGAAGGATTTACTTTAGTGACTACTTACAAGTGATTTATATGTCTATTCATTTAACAATTGTATTTATGTTTGTTAAGTAAAGAAATGCTTGGCATTTTAGAATCTGGAAATATAATGTGGAAGATGTGTGCACATGACACTGTATAAGTTAAAATATATATAGCATTAGACTCTTTCCTTTCTATGTTTCAAGTAAGCCAAAAAAGTGATCTTGTCATTGAAATACCTCCTCCTCATCTTTGACATTATAATTATTTTATATGGGATTTAAAATATTTAGTGTATGATGTATATTTCTTTAAATGTACAGTCTAATGAACTTTGTTAAATGTATGTAACTGTGTAAGCACAAAACAGAGATAATCTGATAACTAATAACAGAAGAATGATGGGCTAGGGATATAGTTCTGGGGAGAGTACTCCTGACATGCAAGAAGACTTGGGCTCAATTCCCAGCACTTCATAAACCGGATGTGGTGATGCACACCTATAACCAAGTACGCAGGTGGAGGAAGATTTGGAATTCTAGGCTTGGCTTTGCTACATATCACGTTCAAGTCCAGCAGAAGCTATATGAGACTCTCACAAAAATAATATTGTTTATAGAAATGTCTTAGGCAGTATTTGAGATGGATATACAAGGATCTGACTAAACATTTAAGCAAGGGATATAGATAGACTAGTGTGCCAATAAATTCCTTTAATCTTTATTAGAACAAAATGTGTTACAACAAATTTATTATTCCAATTTGATGAAAATATTTTCTTCTAAGGTGGACAACTATTGATGTTTCCTCCACTGCATCAACTGCCTTCACTGTGATGTAGACTCAGGGATGTTTTGAATTCTGTAGTGATATAAAAGGTTTGTATAACAAGTGCTCTTGTTCACTCTCACTAATCAAAGAGAAATTCTTCACAGAAATTTTCAGTACAAAAAGTAGCATTTTTAAATGTTTTATAAAATGAATATTGAGATAATCGGGGCCGATGAGACAGCTAGGTGGGTAACAGTGTTTGCTGCTCAAATGCGGCACCTGAATTTTATCCCAGCACACATATAGGAAACCAGGTTTGGCCACATGCTTCTTTTGAAACTCAACACTCTAGGATAAGGAAGGGACAGTGGTGACAGGAGGATCAAGTACCAGCCTAGCTCCAGGTTTAGAGAAAGACCCTTGCTCAATGAATATGGTGGAGTGTGAGGGAGCAGGACACCAGGCACCCTCCTCTAATTTCTATGCACGCATGTACATGAGCACATAGAAAAAACATGCACATACACTAAACACATGCACTGCATTCCTTCATTCCATAATTCTGTTTTCTCTTTCTCTCATGTGCTCACACATAAATACATACAAATGAGTACTGAAAGAAATGTACTGCAGAGTACTCTAATAATGACAAAAACAAGATCTAATGATTGGAATATATCTTTAATATCATAAATTCAACTGAATTTGAATCTACAATGAAGAAAAGATTGATTTTCTTTATAGCAAAAGCCATTCTGAGAAATATTGTCTCTTCTTGAACAATACTTAAATAGGAATGCTTAACTCTAATTTGGACTTTATGCATATTGCTCCAATGACTGCTTTAATGCATGTTTTACAAAGTGAAAA